AAAGCAACACAAAGACAGAAATAAACATAGCCTATCAATCTAAACTTTGTAAAGATTTGGTGATCAAAAGCAATACCAATTAGTTAAGCATGTTACACAAATTTTTTAAATATTTGATTCTGAAATATATATGACTATCAAATATTATAATCAGTGTCTGGCTTTGATTAGCCGACATTCTCAAATCCATTTGACATTATTTGTAAAATATGCTGTATAAATTTTTATGCTGAACACTACGCTAGCACTATAATATATAGAATGAAGAACTGGTCTTATCCTTGAAATTTTTGTTGTCTTTTTAGTCAGAATGGTATGAACAAATAAAATTATTAAATATATCATCAAAGCAAGGTCACTGAACTATTTCCCCAATTCTTTCCCTATAGAGGAGTTATTCCTCCACACACCCCATCCTATGCTCAGACCCCCTGTAGCTCCTTCCTACTACCCGATTAGACTGATGGTGCTCTGCCAGGAGAAGCCATCACTGGGCATTGCCAACCTTGCAGCTATCTCTCATTGACTCTTGCTTCCTTTCAATGTCAGCAAGCACATACTGTGGCCACCTCATGATCCCCACCTCCCCTCACCTTGATTCTTGTTCTGATCCTATTCATCATTCACTCATGAAGACTGATAAAAACATTATGTGCTTACATTTTTTTTAGAAAGTATTTTAAGCTAGAAGACAATTGCCATGAATTCCTCAAGATACTTCCCCCTCACTTCAAACATACTTATCCCATTGTTCTGGTCACTTTCTGAAGCAGTTCTGGAAGTCTTCTTGTGAGTGTCTTTATGAGGTGCGATTAAAAAACTACAGTGAATGCTGCTGCTGGATGCTAATGGAAAGGCAGGCTTGTAAAAATATTACAGTAGTCCTCATCCACTTTATTTAGCGAATCTGGCACCATGAAACTTCTGGCTCTTTCCCAAATTCAAAACCACCTTGAAAAGTAAATGTTTTCAATGGATTCGGGGCATGGAGATATCCATGACAGTGTAACTAAAGACATTCACAAAAGAGGACTTCCTGATCGTGACAAGAATGATAGCGTAAGTGGCTTCAAAACAAGGGGGAGTATTTTTCAGGGACATTAATTGCAAAGCTTCTTCTACTGTAATGAATATTTTTTAAAATGTAAACTATCACCACAATTTTGATCTCACCGACCTCAGGCCACTCTCACACATAGAGAATTTTTTGCCTACTTTATTTCTACTATTTCTTCTTCTTGCCAAATTACTGCAGAGAAAAAATACTAGGTCTCTTATGTTCCCTTTCTCTTTGACCAAAATCTCTGTGGTCCTCAATGTCTCCCCTACAAATAATCTGGCAATCCCCCTGAATTGAGAACAGGAAAGGTGCTATTTAATTATGAAGGAAAGGGTGGCATCAAATCAATGACATTAGTCTCCAAGGCTCTGAAAATATGAAGAAGCTCTTTTTTAATCTCCACTTTAAAAGTATTTCTATAAAATTTTACATATGCTTCCTCCAAAATGTCTAGTCAAGATGTTTAAATATATCATTTTTGTATTGTTTATTGAAAAATGTTGTCCATGTTTTTTTCTTTGTGTAGATAACTGTCTTGAACAATAGAATTGACTGAGTATTCTGAGTACTAAAGGAATAACTTTCATGCAAAGTTTTGAGTGCAAATGCATTTATAAAATGAGGCAATATCAAATAAGATTAAACTAGTTCAAAATGGATAAAATAACTAATGCCTTTTGTGTAAATTGAAAGAGAGATGTGGTGGTGACAGAGAGACAGACAGACAGTTATAAGCATGGGAAAACTTTTTGCACAGGAAGTAGAACTTTATCTGGACTCCAGAAAACATTGTTGTGATGGGGGAGTCAAGAGGGTAACTCAAGTTGGGCAAAGAATGTTGGCAAAGATAAATTTGTTAGAAATAGAGACTTCTTATGAAAGAGAAAGGAAGATATTGGCAAATGACGATTGGACTAATTTGTGTTTTTAAATGTCACATTAACTATTTTAGTAAATTTTCTTCCATGAAAAATGGGAAGCTACTGAAAGTTTTGAAGGACTATAATGGATTTGACAGAATTGTGTTTTAAAACTGCCTTCTCTGGTGAACTTAGAGAAATCAGAAGGAAAGAGACTAAATAGCAGTCCACTTATGGTGAAATGCTTGTGAGGTGCCAAGGACCAGGAATAATGTGATGGGAGTGTGTTAAACAAGGAGAGCTACGAAAAAGCGTCAAACACAGCACAACATAATCCTGACATAATAAAGAAGGTGAAGAAAGACAATACATCAGAAATGGTGAGGTTTCCAGCTGAGTGACTGGAAGAATAAAGGATACTCCAACAACAGAAACAGGAAAAGCAGAAGGGAAAATTGTTTGGATAGATGGGAAGAGAAATGATTGTAAGTGCATGTGGTTCAGTGCTGTCAAGAGAAATTTAATATAAACCACACACATCATTTGACATTGAATAGCAGCCACCTTCAAAAGAATATAAATAAATTTAAAAATTACGTTTAACAATACTTTACCCTAATACATTCAAAATACTATAATTTCAATATATAATCAATATAAAAGGTATTCCAGAGATGGCTTACATTCCATTTTTCATACTATATCTTTGAAATCTGGTACATATTTTATATTTACAATGATCCCTTTGTAGCTACGTTTTAGGTGCCCAGTAGCTGTGTGTGGCTGGTAGCTACCATACTGGACAGCACATTCTTACACTATTTAATAGACTGATAAAGATTATTTAGTAAATGTTTTAATCAAGCAAATTCTAAGACTCATTGGATTCTGGAAATTATAATTCTTTATGTACTTCCTCCTCTCTGATCCTTTTTAAATTTTAGCTATTTCAGATTCGTGTTGGTTTTTTTAGCATATTATTCTTGTTCAAAACCACCACGATTTTTAAAAATACCCATGATATATTGTTTCATTGCTTGGAGTTGCTGCTGCTTCATTTTAATTCTCTGACTTCTGTAATTATATTTTTTCTTCTTTCTTGGTCAGTCATAAAATCTTGGGATTATGAAGTAATTTAGCAATGTGTCCTCAACGACCTTGGAAAAATGGCATTGAGTACTGGGGAAATGAACACTGCATTTTTCATGTTCCCCTGTCTGCACATGTATGGTTTCCTCCAATGTTTAATATCTGACGTAAACATGCTGGATTTTCAGTCTTCAGTATATGCTGAAGAATGTAGTACAAAAGGAAGGCTACTTCTACAGAAAATAAGCCGAGAACATTGTGTTCCATCTTTACAATGAAATGCAGATTTCCCATTAAAAGGCAAATCCATCATTTCAAAAGGTTGAATAGGATGGTGCATTAAAAAAACCCAGCTGCTTAAAGTTAGGGCATTGAAAAGCTTCCAATAAAAAATGTTCCCTGGGTCTCAAGCAATTTCATTTGATTATGTATTGGATAGGTTTTCATTCAATCTAGAATCTTGCCTCTTAGAATTCTATCCTAACATAGATTAAGTAAGTGTTTTTAAGTAAGTTGGACTCAACTCCGATACTTCATTTACTTACATTGCATATTTTGCTAGTTAGGATGCATTTATGAATAAATTATTAACATTGGACAGGAAACATTGGAATCTTCTTACTGTGTTTTGCTTTCTCGTCTTTTCCCTATGCTTCTTCTATTTCCTTCCTTAAGACTGTCTGCCAGCACAGCCATTTTGTTCTCCCACCAGCTTTCTCCAACTGGAAGGAAACCATCTGTTTTACTCTGCCTTATTTTCATAGAGTGACACCTTTTTGCTAAGCTAATGTGCTCTGCCTGACTTTTCCCTGACTAATTTAGGAATAAGAAATCACAAGGCCAGTGATATCCCCTGCAGTACAACATAGTACCCACATGGCTGGCTTGGGAGCATGGGAGAGTTCTGTTCCATGCTATTGAGCCTCAGCCACAAATTCTCAAGGAGGTGTTCTATATGCTGTAGGATCAACAAAGCCCATGCTAGACATATTTGCATGGTGCACATGCTTCCCGTAGGCATTAATAGTTGTGTAATAAATGTTACAGCTATCTTCATGATCTCCTCTGATCCTGCTTTCTCATACAGAGGACTACTATTTCATAAGTGCCTTGCTAACATGCGCCTGTTAGTAGTTATTTACCAGGTTTGTTAAGCAGAGTATTTGGCTTGCTCCTATTGTACTGGTTGTTAGGCATTTGTACATATGATGATATTGCTCCTGGGCCTTTTCCTAAAAGGAAAAGTTTCCAGTGATTCTGTAGCATTCAACATGTTTTACTAATGCCATTTTGGTCCCAGTTGCAGACGTTACCTTCCCCGTATCCATGTTCATCCTGAAGAATTGCTAATTTTGAAAGAGAGCTTCTACTAGTTAATACTGGTGTACTTCTGGTGGGCTCTTTTTCCCCTAAGGAGCTGAATAATGCTATGAAATTTATGGAATGACAATTTTTCTAGACTTACACTCTCAACCCCAACAAGGGAGTGTTGTCTGACTTTATCACAGTCTATGGGGGTGTTTTATTTTGGGGTCCTTGTGCCTCCACTCCTCTGCCAACACTGGCTATCAAAACTGCTTAGGCTGCAAATAAAACACGAAATGCAATCCATCTGGCATTTCTCACTGAATTAGAACCAGGACATTTTTGTTAAATATTAACAGATGGCTAAATTCTTAATATCAAACTAACATTTAAAAATATCTAAGGGGACCTACACGAGGGGAGAAAGGATAGAGGACCATGTGTTTTTTCCATCTCTGAGCCCTTCTTTTATAGTTCCCTCTCCCACCCCCATTTTTCCAACTCATGTGTTGAGAATCACTGGAGTTTCCTATATTAGGTAACTTTTATTCCTTGGTAGCTGGTATCAAAATAGTGTTTGTTGGTATCAAGATAGTATAATCAAGTGTTAGCCAACTCTGGTGATGTGTTGCCTGCCGTTGGCATGTTTCAAGATCTTAAAGTCCTCTCTCTCTGTTTTATAATAGGAAAAAGAAAAGAAATACATGCTTCCCTTGGACAACCTCAAAGTTCGGGATGTGGAAAAGAGCTTTATGTCTAGCAAGCACATATTTGCACTCTTTAACACAGAGCAAAGGTAAGAAATTGAAGCAACTCTGTATGCATATTTTTTCCTTGAATTTCTACATGACCTAGAGATAAGATTTGCAAATAGTTCCTTGTTTGCACCTTGAATTTTGCCAGCTCTTTGGTTTTACTTTCATTTATTTTGTATTTTTAACCTCCACCATGGGTTATGGCTTCAAAAGATTAAAGCAGAATAGGAAAGATCTAATTAATTTCCTGGTTGCCCTGCAGGCACCGAAATCATGCCGCACCTATTCTTAAAGCTACATTTTATTGCCTTAAAGGTGTCCCCATCCATGTGTACACATTTATAAATTACACAATGATTTTTATAATTATAACAGCATCTGTCTAACATGGATGGATGTCTTTTTAGGTTATGACTAAATTCAATGAATAGAATTATTCAGTTAAGGTGAATAAAAATACCCAAAACTTTACAGTTTCTCAAAGTATCATCCACATTCATTGTTTTTTTTATTTTCATAACAACTTCCCATGAGGTTAAAAAGGCAGAATGATAATAGCTCAATCTTGGAAGGGGCCAATATGTCCATCATAGGAATGGATAAAGAAAATGTGTATTTGTGCACAATGGAGTACTACTCTGCCATAAAGAAAGATAAACTTGAATTATTTGTAAGAAAATGGTTGCCTCTTGACACCATAAAGGTAAGTGAAATAAACCAGACACACAGGTTTAACTATCACATACTTTCTCTTATGAGAAACTCAGAGTAAAAACACAGAGCAAAATAAAAGACAGCTAATAGGAAGTAGGGAGAAAGATCTTTCTCAAAGGGAGAGGAAATCAAGAGATGAAAGGAAGAGAGAACTGAAGATGTGTTGTGTGCATGTGCCAGCTCCACACAAGGAATGTAAACATTGTGTACTACAGACATACGCAAATTAAAATAAATAAAAAGGCATAGTGGTGTGGTGGCCATTTAGTACATTAGAAAGTGTAGCCTCAGAGAAGTTCACTGACTTTCTTAAGATCACTGTACTAGTACATGAGGGAGCTGGAACTCAAGTCAGGACTTCTTCTACTCAGATTTCTTGAGATAGATCCTCTTTTCTTTTGGTCCTGTACAATATCAAAAGTTTATCTTTGGCTGATCATCATGGAATATCATGGTAGCCCATTAAAACTATCAACAAAGTTAAATAAGCAGGTGGAGAAGTGATAAGATATAGGATAGAGATGTCAGTGGACTACAACTAGGACTACAAAAGTAATAAAGGCAATTCTTTTTCCCAAGTGAATGTGTTACGGGAAAAATCTATTTTTGTTAAGTTATTAAGAGAGTGAGTCATTAGGTGGCAGGGTCTAATTTTAACCCATGTTTCCAGGCTGTGTTTTATCTTTATTTAGCAGTGAATGAAATTACTTGATTAGGTTCAATGATGGCCCCAAGGTCAATCACACGGTTAATCAAAACAGCAAAGGAAGATGACTTCTTTCTACATTCCCAGTCAGTTGCTCAGAATGACTCATAATACAAAAATACTTATAAAAACCATAAAAGCAAGCCACTTAAAGAATCAAGGAGAAAGGAAATGAAATACTTCTCTCCTACCAAATGCTGAAGTAGGATTTTTAGAAAACTCAGTATTGTTTGAAAGTAGCTTGTAAGAAAAAAAACAAAAACGCACTGAAAATGGTAAAGAATAAGAAAAGCTTCTTCGAGTAGTAATGATTCTGCCATCTACAGCCAAACTTGGTACTGTTTACATGGTTTCATCAGAGTAGGGGGGAATCAAGAGATTCTGAAGTTCTCAACAGCGGTGTAATCAGCCTTCTAGAACAGGAGACTGCCAAACAGGAACTCAAACCAGATTGAAACCTCAATCAACTTGAGGTTCAGGTTCTACAACGCTGTGGTATAATGTAAAGGCAAAGTAGTGGTGGAGCATTTTGAGGGAATGAAATACAACTGTAGATTGAAAAAAGAGTAAAATAAGAACACTAGATATTCTGGAATCTTAGGGTTCTAAAAAGGCACTCCACTCTTCAGCCACTTCTCGGTGAGCTCATGGAGATGTCCTTACAGCACATTTGAGATTGTCTTTTCCTTTGAAATCTTGATTCGTTTACATTATTTTTGTGTTGTCTAGGCCCCCCAGTGCAATATTGAATACCCATGGGTATCATTGTTTGTTTCTAACTTTAAGGAGAATTATTTTTTAAATTTTATGGTTGAATACTTTTAAATAAATAACGGATACCAGGTGAAGAAGATTCTTTGGGATCCTGGTTACTAAGGTTTCTGTTTTCATTTTCAAATCATGGATGGGTGTTGAGTTTGATCAATACCTCCACCTCAGAGACTGTCTTTATTCTTTAATCTGCTTATGTGGTGAGTACATTGATAGACTTTCTAACATTAAGCCATCCTTGATACACTGGGATTTAAGCTAGTTAGGTCATAATGTAATGTTACTTATTATGCATTCCTGGCTTAAGCGTAGGGGTTTTTTTTGTCAATGTTCATAATAGAAATTGGCCCATAAATGCTTCTTTTTGGGGGTAGTTTCTCTGTCTGGTTATAATACCAGCATCTGTTAGCTTCATAAATTGAGGTGATAATAAATCGTTTTTGACTGAATATTGGGTATAAAATAAGGATTAACTGTCAATTGAATGTTTGGTGGAAATCACCAGCAAGATAATCTGGGCTGGAAGGTTTTTTGAAAACTAGTCTTTAAAAGTGATTTAATGTTTGGAGATTAAAGATTTGTTCAGATTTTCTATTTTTTCCATGAGTCAATTTGAATAAGTTCTGTTTTTACTAAAATATTGTTCATTTTATTTGTTTTAAAATATACTAGTATCAAGTATTTCTTTTGTTTTTAAAATTTTCTGCTGCATCATTTTTTATTTCTAATTTAACCCTTATCTTTTATTTCTGTAATCACTATTGCCAGAAATGACTTTGACATTTTGATCCTGGTTTCTATTTTAATAATGCCTGTTCTAGAGCTGGGGATTTAGCTCAGTGGTTTCGCCACCTGCTGCGCAAGCGCAAGGACCCGAGTTCAATCCCCGGTACCAAAAAAAAAAAAAAAAATAATAATAATAATAATACCTGTTCTCTTCATTATTTCTTTCTTTGCATTTATTTTTTGGTCTTTTATTTCTAATTCTTTAATTTAGGCCATCAATTTTTATTCGTTTGCTTATATATGCATGTAAACCTATAGTTTTGCTTTTAGGGAGTCTTTAACTGCTTACCAGAATTTTTGAAATATTAATATTTTCATTGCCATTCCATTCTGTCTCCTAATCTTCATTTTTTCTTTAAGTTACTTAGAAGTATGTTTCACATTTAATAGTGCATAAAATATTATTATCTTGTTGTTGTTTATTTCTAACTTAATTGTATTGTGCTCAGAGATTATGATCGAGTACATGCTGAGTTTTCATAAATATCCCAAGTACATTTGAGAAGAATGTACATTTACTAATTTGAGAGTTCATGTTTCATGAGAGTTCATTTGGTTACATTGTACTTTTTAATTGTATTATCCAATCTCTGTTGTTACTTTTTTATCTTGATTATTTCAAACATTTAACAAATAAGCACTTAACTATGTCCCAGACCAAATATTTAAATACAAGATGACAAAAAATTGCATATTTTTTCATTAATTTGTATAAGATAACAGGAAATATAAAAATGACAATTTCATCAAATTTATTCAATAATGTTTCTGGGTATGGTATATGTTAAAATATTCAACACACAATGCAACATTACAATCTGGACAGTAATATCTAGTCTCTTTCCTAATTCTTTTTGCATTATTGTCTTTCTTTAAACAATACACTTTACACTGTTGTGTTGGCCTTTCCTTTTTTTCGGTGAGTGGTGAAATTTCAATAAAATGTCTGCCCACTAAGCCTAATGGTGAAGACGTCCATCCATGATGGACATCCTGTTGGTGTTTTGTTATCCCGTATTTTTCAATTATTTGGTCTATTAGACCTAATCTAAATTGTAAGTGGCTTTTTGAACCCCCTTCTTTTGAATAAATAACAAACAAGTTCCATTTTGTTTGGCCCAGAAGGTGTGTAAATGTTTTGTAATCATATTTTTTCCTCATTTTTTGATTACAGGATAGCTTGTTAGATGTTAATCAACTCTGTCAACACTGCCCATAGAATTATTATAATCATTGACCATTATTAGAATTTTTTTTAGTTCTATTTCTTCTTTCAAGTTCTATCATGTCTGTATTATGAATAGTTGACAATAAGGAGATGTCTTTTTTTGTCTTCCCATTTCATAACACAGACTTTTTCTCTCTGATATGCTAACATTTCTCCCTTTTTCAACTTTTTCTTTTACAGATCTTTCAGCACTTCCTTCCTGTTCAGTCTCAGTGTCCCAAAGATATCCATTTTGTATTATAAAAGAATATCATTGAGTTCTGGAGAAGTATAAAAATTGTATCCAATGCACTCATGATAAGCATTTTTATAGATTGTAGTGCAAAATTATAGGTTATTTTTCACAAATAAAATAAACACAAATTAGTAAAAGAACCAGAACTTATTATTAGATTTCACTAGAAACAATCATCAAAGGCTAATGCAATGGTCTAAATAAAAAGTAATAAATATAGTCAATATAATAATAGTCAATATATACAACAAATAGAGGTACTAGTGTTATCTCGTGCAAACAAAAATTGACTGATTGAAATGACACCTGCCCAAGAAACTCTTGGGATAGTCAGTTCAGTACATAAACAAACACACTGGTTGAGTGACACTCAGATAAACTGTTTATCTGTGAATAATATAGACAAATGAGTAAGTATTGTTGCATTCTAGGGAGGCGCATGGGCAGGGAAACAAAAAAATCATAAAGAATCTTTATTAGAGGAGTGTTGCAAAGTTCACTTTTTCATGATTGTGAGCTTGAATATTCTAATTCTATCCATTTTTGCCCTATGTATTTTGAGGCACATCTATGATTTTATATTCATACAAATTTAGAATTT